CGGTTTGAAAGATTTAATATTTTTCCGAAACAATTCATTTCTCAAATCATGAAGCTAGTTACTCATCACAACTGGATGCTAACAATTGAATAGCATATCCGTGTAAAGCAGGAGCTCATAGTTTAGTTGAGTATTTCTTATAGCCATATTCTATAACTTGGGGTTCAGCGTAGAATTAGGGGGACGATTAAAAAGCCTGGTGGTTACCTTACTTAATTTTTCCTGTATTTTCCTTATTGACTTTATGTTTTGTTAATAATAATCTTTCAAACCATTGAATTATATATCGCATAAGAAGATATAGCAATTAATTTTTTTCTTTTGGTTCATGTTTTCATTTTGCTGGTAACTTTCTCGACTTGGAATTGTTTTAAACATTTGTTAATTCCTTTTAATCCTTTCATTTCGTTTCTACTTTTATTTTGTATATTTCAATCTTTTTTTTTTTGCTAATATTTCTAACTTTTGTCCGTAATTCTTGATAAAATAAAGTAAAAAAGCGAGCCTTTGCAACTATATAAATAAGCTTTTAGAATGGTGCTGAAACAATTTCAGATTTTAAAGCCAATCTTTGAAGACGATATCAAACTTGCATAAATGATGCTGAATTCATATGTGGAAATAGAAACTATCGTCTAATACGACGCTTTGTTTTGAAAGGCATAAGTATAAAAAGTTAAAGAATGTAGAGGTAAGTCATTAAGGGATAGTATGTATTTTGATAGGATAGCATGAAAACGTTTCTGGATAGTGTAATCTGCCATCCATCCATCGTGATGAGATAAATCAAATGAAACAAGTTCTGGATAAAAGTGATTAGCATTGCAATAAGCTAACATTCCGGTTCCAATCCGGTTATTTACTAATTAGCTTATGTTTAGCATTGTTATCTGTTGCATTAAATGAATTAGCTGCAATAATATAGCAAAATTTAGATAAATGACGCATCATGCATGAATGATTTTATTACGCTTCATTAGTTCAGTTTTTTTACATCTATATTATATTATTTCTAATTAATTAGAACCTTTTCCCTCCTCTCTCTCTCTCCCTCTTTTTTTCTCTTTCTTTAATTTTCATCAGTCATCTCAATATATCTACAATTTTTCAATTATCAAAGCAACTAGTAACACATTTTATATTTGTCCACAAGATTGAATTGATTCTTACAGATTCGTTAAATTTATCTTTACAGATTTAATCCTCTATTTAAAGAGAAAAAATTTTAATTTATAAATTAAATTTCTAAATTTTCGCTCTTGTTCTTGCTTTTTTCTCAAAAAGAAAAAAAACTTCAAGTATATCTCTTACTTTTGGATCAGTATTTATTAATAAACAAATTTTTCAAAAAATTTTAACGATTTTTGAATAAAACGAAAAATATAAAAATTAATTAAATTTTTGTTCTTTTTTCCCATTACTTTATTTGAGTAAAAATTAAAGTAAGAAAATTCAAATATTATTTAAATAATGCACAGAATTATTAATGTAGTTAATAAGCATTTAATTCATTACCCCAGAATATATGTCATTTATCAATTTTATTCACTAAGGTAATGTCAATTATTTATTTAAACAACTTATTTTTTGCATATTACTCAATTTTGTAAATTATTTTTAACAGCGGAAAAAAAATTTTTTCGTTTAATTGAAGACAATAAAATTTTTTCCTAAAATTATTTATTCAAATTTTATATTTATTTATTTATATCATTTTTAATTGATTCCATCAATTTGAAATATCAATTTATTTTTTTGTCATCATTTTTTGTTAATTTTTTATTAAATACTACTTCATTAGAATACAATTATTTTGCTTCATTTTATCATTTCAATGATATTTTAACTTATTATTTTGGAATAACTGAAATTGTAACTAATTTCAATTTAAATACAACTTCGATTCAATTCAATTTGTAAATGATAGCAAAGATCGTTAACTATACTTGAAAAAGATGGAAAAAAGTAATAAAAAACATTTTATTATTATTTATTCAATATATTATTTAACAATTTCTTTTTTTCCCAAAGTACATAATGCTTTTATTTATTTTTATAATTAATGAGGAATATTTTTTCAGTTTAGACGATTGTTGATTTTACTTTTACAGATTTCAATTTTCTTTTTTTCTTCCCTTTTTTTCTCATTTAATAATTACTTTGCTAAGTGCTTCATCGGTTGCTATGGATGAAAAAGTATGGCTTACCATGAACTTATTATCATAGCTTTAGATGACAACTGATCGTCGTACGACAAGAAGTAAAAGTTACAAATGTAAGCTCAGCCATTAGCTATTATCATTTATTACTATTATCAATTAACAATTGCCATTTTAGATATTCATTAAAAGAATAACTATTCATATTTCATTCGTTATTTATAACTATTTTTATAAATTAGTTGTCTTATTATCCACCAGCTTTAAAAAAAAATACTAAAATGTTAATCAAAAAATCAATTGATAGGTATACCGTATCAATTCGACAAAAATTATTTTGCATCAAATTAATTTTTAATATATGGCGATCATTTGGCAGATGTTAATAAATTCAAAAAGCACCTGCACGATTTCAAAAAATTTTTTCAAGATTATCAATTATATAAAAGAAACCATTTTGAATTCTGTCAATTCGTTTTGTGAATTTAACTAAAATTTTTTGTAATATATAAAATTATAAGATATAAATAATTTCGAACTGATTTAAATCTAAATATGTGTTGATGCATACATATATGCAAGCGTGTAAAGACGTATGCATATCTGCGTGTAAACATATGCAAAGAAATTTTAAACAATAGATGAAATAGACAAAAAATTTTAGGCACTATTTTAATATTGCAAAATATTTTGCTTTCCACATAATTATTTGCTTCTGCTTGCAAATTGTTTCCGACATATCATTTAGATTAAGTTTTACACCAAATAGTAGTTATTGATTCACTTACTTGTAATTGAATTATGCTTAACGTAAAGCAATTCTGTTTACTGATAAATGCTTATGCTATGACGTCAAGATGCAATATGCTTTTATCTTGCTGGTAAAATTATTTGATAGACATATAAGCCTGTAATCTTGTTGGTAAAATTATTTGATAAACATATAAGCCTGTAATCTTGTTGGTAAAATTATTTGATAAACATATAAGCCTGTAATGTTGTTGGTAAAATTATTTGATAAACATAATTTTGTGTTTTTTTTTTTTTTTCATTTCAAATTAGCAATTATTTTATGAAACAATTTTTAAGGGATGCAAAAAATGGCGAAATATTTCATGCGTAAACAATTGAAATTATAATTGTGCAATATTTAAAGATAAAAAAAAAAATAGGAAAAAGCGAAGCAAAATAAGTGCATTTTTCTTTTCATTTGTTTGTCATTAATTTAATTTTAATTAAATTTATTTTACCGTTTCATCGTTTCGAGCTTAATTCAGATCAGCTTCATACATTTGCAACATTTTTCTTAGTAAATACAATTTATATGTGTTATTTCGAGAATAATTTAATTGTCAGCTATAATTAGTCAGTATCGTTTGAATAAACAGCTGACCATTGATCCATTTAATGCTATGTTATTTTAACGTTTAATTAAAAATATCTATGCTTCATGAGCGGAATATAATGCTCGATGCATAATATAGATGTCGGCAGGATATATTTAAATTTAGTATAAATTTAACTAATAGGAGTTTAATCAAAAACAATGAAAATGGTATCAAATAACTGAATGAAAATGAATCAAATAAATGATTAATAATCAGTTAAAAGTTTATTATATCAATTATATAATGAAGATACTCTTCTTTTTTTTTTTTTTTTTTTAATCAATTCTAGCAATTTTGGAATTGCATTCAATGAAATTTGTGAATTAGTCAATTTTCCATGAAATTGCTGTGATTTCATTTATTATTCAACAGCAAAAATAAAGCAGCTAAATGAATTGTTTTAATTTTTAAATAAACTATTTTAAATTTGAATATTTAAATTGCAAATTTGAATAGTGTAAACTCAATGATTCAAAATTTATATATTTCTTATTTGGTTTCAAACTTTTTTGCTTCTTTTTTTCTCTTTTTTTTGTCCTTTTCATTTTGTTCTATTTATTCTATTATCATCCATTCATTCATTCATCTTTTCCATTTGAATACTTCCTTCAAAATCTATCCAAATGAATCTTTCTCTTTTTCTCTTCTTTTTTTTTGTTATTTTTCTTTTTTTTTTTTAAAAAAAGAAAGATTTACAAATTTCAACCATTCAAATATTTGTAGTTTTTTTATTATTTACTTGAGTTTTGTTTTTTTGTTTACTTGTAATTTATCAAATAAGAAATTTAAATGAAACGATTATTCGTTGAAATGCATATCAATGATTATGATAAACGATTAAATGATTATTCGTTGAAATGATATCAATGAGTATGATAAGTGATTGTGATTAAATGATTATTTGTTTAGTTTGTTAAGAAGAAAATGTTATTATTTAAAGACTTAAGAAAAGAAAAAAGCGCTTTTTCCCTCTTTTGAAAACAATTACAAAACCTCAATTCCTATTTCATTGTGTGTAGGTGTATGCATGTATGTATGTATGTGTGTGTGTGTCTGTGAACTATTTTATCAATTGCAGAATTTTTCAATTAATTTCAAATAAGACAACTTCATTTCATTTTTCGTTGTCTTTCTATTCTATCAAAAAAAAAAGTTATTTTTATATAATTAAAAATTATTTTGTTAAGTAATAAAAAGATGAGAAAAGTTTTATTAGAAATTTATTATACTTACTTAAAAGTAATCATATAATGATGTAATATGGCCATGAAAAAAAAAAAGAAAAAAGGTATCTATTTAAAGATAATAAGATAGATAATAAGATTTTTCTTTCTTCGTTATTCTTTTTTCTTTTTTAGAAAAAGAAAAGCAGTAGAAAAAAAAGTTAAAAAAAAGAAGGAAAGAAGGAGGTTAGAATGAATAAGAAATGGAAAATAGACAGATATTTGCCAATTTAAATAGATGCATGCCATAGTGTCGTTGCAAGATGCATGCCATAGTGTTGTTGCAAGATGCATGCCATAGTGTTGTTGCAAGATGCATGCCATAGTGTTGTTGCAAGATGCATGCCATAGTGTTGTTGCAAGATGCATGCCATAGTGCTGTTGCAAGATGCATGCCATAGTGTTGTTGCAAGATGCATGCCACAGTGCTGTTGCAAGATGCATGCCATAGTGTTGTTGCAAGATGCATGCCATAGTGTTGTTGCAAGATGCATGCCATAGTGTTGTTGCAAGATGCATGCCATAGTGCTGTTGCAAGATGCATGCCATAGTGTTGTTGCAAGATGCATGCCATAGTGTTGTTGCAAGATGCATGCCATAGTGCTGTTGCAAGATGCATGCCATAGTGTTGTTGCAAGATGCATGCCATAGTGTTGTTGCAAGATTGATTTTGGTACAAATACTTTGCAATCGCTTCTCGCTTCAGTCATATACTATTACATATATTAGCAAAGAGAGAAAAAAAAAAGAAGAAAAAATCGAAACTATGTAATAGCTCTATTATGGAATGTCATCGATGTTTAAGTGATTCCAGTCTTTCTAATTATTATTATTATTAATAAACTTTTGTGTTTATGACGATGATTCCTATCAGTAATGATGATGGTAATGATGGTGACGACAGTTTACAATAGTAGTGATAATCAATACTGATACTACACGACAATGATAATTATATCACTTGCAATATAATACTTAAAGTGACCATTTATGTTTACATCCATCCTTTTCATTCGTTTTCATTCTATCATAGTGGAAATAATCTGAAAAGACTTACTATCAGTCGATAATGTAATTGTTACTTAGTAGTTGCAATGGACAAGAAATAATCACTTCCGCTTATCGATGCCAATTTTTAGCTCATTAATTCTTTATTTAATTCTTTGATATCACAAGGAACAACGAAATCTATGCTTATGGCACTTCTCTTAATATACTAAAAGTTTTAAATAATTTCGAAAAATTTCTTGTTGAAATATTTTGAAAAAAAAAAAAAACAAAATGCAAAAGTAGCAGAGTCCTTGAAAACCGAAATTGACATAACTACTATTTTTGAATCGAAATTATACAACTAGGATAAAAAGTAAATTTATTTATATTGATTTATGCACAAATTATTATTAATTAGTACAAGCTTTATAATCATTAAGAATAATTAATATATGACTTCTTCTATTTAATAAATCAAGAAATAATCTTTTATAAGTTATGTAAGATAGAAAAAACAGAAGGAGTAAATTAACTTACCTTTACCAGTAATTTATTTTTTATAACTTACACCAGCATTGCAATTTAACATTTTATAAGAATTCATTGAAATGAATTTTTCCATTTAATTATTTAAAATAAAATTGCATTTCCTGAAGAAATAAAACAATCTTCGTAGTACATTCGGCAAAAGATATTACAGTCCGGAAGTGGTACTTAGTGTTTAATTCCTTTTTCTTCTCTCTTCTCCTCGTTTTCTCATCTTCTTTTCTCTCTTTTACATTCATTTTCATTTACATCGTGGATATTTAATAAGATTGATTCATATTACCGCCTTCATTGATAACAATATAATGATAATAGGGAATAATAGTGATAATTAGGAACACTATTAGTAATAATAATAATAATAATAATAATAATAATAATAATAATAATAATAATAATAATAATAATAATAATAATAATAATAATAATAATAATAATTTGATCATGGATGGTTTTTCTTCATTATATGCAATGGTAATAAAATTTTATTACGCTAACTGTTTTTTTTGAAATATTTATTTTTATTCTTTTGTTCTTTCTTCGGTATTTTTCTGTCAATTTGGTATTTAGCGTTATATCATTTCTGATGTCACAAATTTCATTTTGCATATGTTTTCCTCCGTTTTCTTTTCTTTTTAAAAAAAATTGGAAAGATTTTTTTTATGCAATAAAATTAAATTTATCAGTGGTTTATCAGCAATAAAATTAAATTTATCAGTGGTTTATCAGATTAAATTTATTTATCTATATTTCTTAACCATTTCAGATATATATCAGATTGCGCAATTTCCAATAGAAAAAAAAAACCTAAATGATAAATGAAACAAAATTTTTAATAACGGAGAAAAATTTATTCAATTTTTTGAAATTAAATTCTAAGCTTTATCAATTAAATTATTGATCAGTTATCATCTACCATGTATAATTATCATTTACTATTATTGCTTTTCTTTCTTCTTTTTTAAAATTAAATAATTATTATATAATTAAATAATAACATTGTAACTCTAAAATATAATAATTGCTTTTATTTAAAACATTAAAGAAATCAAGAAAACAATTTTTTTCTTTTCAAATTTGATAAAATAATTCAATTCAAATTGATTTTATATTTGATCAGCTCATAATATCATTTCATACATAATCAATACATTTTATTATTTATCGACTTATAAAAATTAACAATGCCGAATAAAAATGTTTGAAAATGGAGGGAGAGAGAGAGAGAGGGAGAGAGGAAAAAAGAAAGAGACAGAAAATGTAATAAATTTTATTTCTCTTCTCGCAGACTGTCAGATACGTATTCTTCATTCATTGCTATTCCAAGATTTATTAAATTCATAAAATAGACAGACTAACTTTCAAAAAATTTCTTTTGTTTTGACAATAAAAAATATGAAATGAAATAAAAGAAGCAAAGAAATTTTTGACATTATTTCTCTTCTCATTCTAAAATCAAATTTATTTATTAATTTATTTCTCTTTCAATTTGATTACATTTATAATTCATTAATTTTTTTCATTAATGATTTAAAAACATTTGGTAAATTATACTTTTAATCTATGAAAGTTAATAGTATAACCAAATAATTACTACTTCTATGTATCAAAAATACTTTTAAAAGCCTATTAAAACATTTTTTTTTTTTGGTAATTCAATAAAGAAAGTATTTAATACTTTAAACATTTTATTCGTGGCTGCTTGAAGAGAAAATCTGAAGAAAAAAATTTTCGTTTTTTGCTTTTTGTTTGAGTATTAGTTGCACTTATGAATGAAATTTTTTTTTTAAATTTAATTTAACGCTTTTTTTTTAAAAAAAAAATATGTTATTAGCAAAAATTTTTAGCAAAGAAACAAAAACAAAAAAAAAAAACGGACGAAGATTTATATATTAATCGGAAAAGTTAATATTTTTTTGGTAATCTTTAAAAATTTTTCTGTGAACAGAAATCTCTAGGAGTATAATGGATGAATAATTTTAAATAAATGAAATAATATTGATGCATTTATAAAATTTATTGAGAAATAAAATAAAACAAATGTGAAAATTAATTGCAGCTGGAAAAAAAAATGACATAAACTGGTATATTGAACTTTAAATTTGAAGTTTCTTTGTTTTTGCTTTTAACACTATTCATTATAGAAAAGTAAAGTAAAGTTAGTCATACAAATTTTTGTAAAAAAAAAGTCCATAAATAAAATTTATGAAATTGTGAAGGTACGATTTTATAAAATAATCAAATCCGGAATAATTAAAATCCTAAATTTATAATTTATGTTATAACTTATTGAAAGCAATGGAATGTTTTATAGAAAAAAAAATAAAAAAAGAATATATAAATGAAGAAATGACATAAATCAGAAACTGATAATGATAAATATTGACAAAAATGATAACATTTATTAACTAATAACAATTTCTGCGTTTTTTTTTTCTGATATTGATAATGAATATATTTTGTTAGTAAAATCTGGATGGAAATTAATTCGAGATTTAATGCAAAAAGAAGAAGTTATTTGCTAGTTAACCAGTTATCAAATAGTTTTCATGCTTATTTGCTGCTTTTTTTTTTTTATTCATAAAGCATTTAATTTATGCTTAATTTGTTGACTTTTTTCTACATTTGATAATTTATTTATGATTTTTCTTTATTATAATTTCTGTCCTTTTTTTTTCATTTGTTTGTTTTAATAATTAATCAAGTATATGTTGAATTTATTCATTGAATTCTTTATTGCTATTATATTTTGTTTATTAAAGTTTGTAAAAATTTAAAATTGTTAATAGCGCATAAATGGGCAATTCTCATGGATTCCATAATCATCATATGGCTATTGCTGAATCAAGTGATAACGAGATGAAACGTTTATCAATTCCCTTATCATCATCATTATCATCATCATCATCATCATCACCATCAAAATTACAGCAAGTAAGTTTATTTGCTTGTTTGTTAAAACAAAAAATGTTTTCTTTCTCATTCCCTCTCTACCCCTCTCTCTCTCTCTCGCGTTTTTCTCATTCCGAAATAAGATTTGATAACTTATTTCTCGATTATAAATATACATACAAGTAATACTTAATTATAAACGAGATTTAATGGTATTGGTTGATTGCAAAATATTTTAATAATTTAATTTGAAATTTATTAATTCTTTCTTAATTCATTGAATTAATCAGTCTACAAATAAAAGAAATAATTTAGTTGCCATTAGATGGGTGAAAAGATGAAATTATTTTAAGATTTGTTGCATTAAATTTTTCTTCTATTTCATTCATTTCTAACTTTTCAATACTTCAATAAATAGCATTTTTAATTTTTCATTTCTTATCTTCCGTTAAAATCTTTTTCCATTGTACTTTTTTTCTTTATCAACTAAATTCTATAATTAAAGCAGTCAGAAAATATTAATCGAATGAAATTTTAGGAAAATTCAATATCAGACGGTTATCATTAGAAATATATTAGAAATACTAATAAAATTTCATTTTAAATCAACAAAAATTTTTGAAAATAAAATAGTACAGTTAAATAATTACCCAAATTAAATAAATAATTGAATTATTCGATTAATTTTTTTTCATTTAAATCGGCGCAAGCAGTTTTAACAATAACGCAATGAATAAATAATATTTTTGAAAAAAAAAAAAAAAAAAAAAAAAACAGAAAAACTTAGCTAACAAATTTTAAATAAAAATCATTCAATAATGATTGATTTTTAATCTTATCTAAAATCAGTATTATAACTTTATTCCTTTATTTTTCCACTCTATCATTTCAATCGATCAAACTTTTAAAATGTAATAAATACTACTTCTAATACACCTTAAAATAAATAATCCTTTTAATCCTTCTCATATTAAACTCTTTTTTCTAGCTTTAAATTTCAATTAATTTTTAAATTTCAAACTTAAAATATCTTACTGTTATCTCTTTTTTCTCTTTTTTTGTCTTCTTTCAATAGTTATTAAGAATTTCAAATTAAAAAAAAAAAAAAAGAAAACATAAAGTTTTGAGAGTTAAAGTCAAAAGAGTGAACGAAAGATAAAATGAAAAGAAGAAAAAGGAAATAAAAGAACGAAGGAATAATTTCTTTGTGAAAATCGAAAGTTAAATTTTGTAGTTTGAAATGAAATAAAGCAAATTACTGATGACAGCAAGGACAATCGCT